ATAAGACTGTATATGCTAAGGAAACATCTGTACTTTTCTTACGCATTTGGATGAAATTTTTTTTCAATATTATTCAAGTTACCACTTACTATTGATTTCTCCTGTCTCCCCTTTTTAGGAATTTATATTTGTGAGTATCATGTCATCAGCCGGGTAAGATGGAAAATGTAAGTAGCACTTCTAGCTTTCTTTCTCAGACAACTGAGCTCTACCAAATCAGAGATGAAGGTTCCTAAAAGCTGAGATCAAAATATAGTTTAAGATATTTGGAGGAACTCTTTAAAAGTTGTATGGTGAAGCGCCTTAAAAATATAATCAGTTGTGAACTTGTCTGGAGAGATGCTGCAAGGCAGACTCATAGACAAACAACGAAGCTCATTTTCATAGATTGGTTTTCCTTAGAGTGAGGCCAACCTGTGTTCCCAAGATCTCTAAAGATCAATTTTTCTTTTTTCTTTTTTTTTTTTTGAGTCGTAGTCTCACTCTGTCGCCCAGACTGGAGTGCAGTGTCCTCTCCCGGTCACCGCAGCCTCGACCTGCTGGGCTCCAGCGATCCTTCCACCTCAGCCTTCCAAGTAGCTGGAACTACAGGCGCGCGCTACCACCCGGCTAATTTTTGTTTGTTTGTTTTATTATAGAGATGAGGTCTCACCAAGTTGCCCAGGTGGGTCTCAAACCCGTGGGTTCAGGCAATCCACTCACCTCAGCCTCCCAAGGCGCGGGATTATAGGCTGAGCCACCAAGCCTAGCTAAGATCACCTTTTCTTTTCTTTTTATTCAAGAGTTCACACTCAGTTTTTTCTTTATTTTAAAGATGTGGGATATAATTCAGGGTTAGGTATACAAATGTTCATTATGCAGGTACCCTTGTTAAGAGTTCATACTCCTGTACCCCACAATATCATAATAAAAAATATTGATTAAAAAAGTAAAAATAAAGATAAATAAATATTAAAAAGCAAAAAAAAAAGAGTCCATACTCTTAATAAACGAAACTACCTCATTTAACTACTCTTACTTTAAGACTAAAGATGGCCACTATATTTTATCAACTGCAACTTTATTAAGATCACCTTTTGTAACAGCACTTTTCTCTATCATTCTGGGACGTTCATCTTGAACTCTTTGGCTCTCTCTTGATTCAACTTAGCCTAAAAAAAAAAAAAAAAAGAACTAATGAATATTTGAATAAGGCCTGGGGGTCGGGGATTGGGGAAGATACTTCCTCTTCTGAGCATTATTGTACCCTCACTGAAGAAGCATGTTACTGAATTAGTCATTAATTCAACCAAAATATATTCAGTCCTACATTATATGTAGTGAATATATGTGAGTTTCCCCCATCTACTCATTCATTCCAAATACCACCCTACATTTTTTTGTAGAAAGAGTTCTACCTCAATGTGGGTATTCTTGATGGAATGGTAAATCCAAGATTTTTTTCAGGCACATCCCTCCTCTCACTGCTTAGTACAATAAAAAGTTAAGCTCAGTCAATCAGAAGCAGGCTCACAGGACTTTGAGTCTTAGGTTAGTAACATGAGGATAGAAGAAATTACATTTGATTCTTCCCAGTAGTGGTGCCCTTATGAGAAGTTTCCCTGCTAGGAGACTGTCACTATTGTTCCTACATTGTAGACCTCTGTCCTTTTTCAAGCCCTGCTCTTTAATTTTCCAGTAAATTCTTTGAATTCCCCAAACCCTTTCAACAAGTTCTCTTTACATTGGTTATCTAGAACTGACAATAATGTCAGCTTAAAAACATTTGTTTTTTGTGGCTGGCAACCAAAGAACCTTGACTGAAACATTGTGCTAAGCACTAAGAATACAGTGGTAAACAAGACAGACAGGGATCTTGCCCTCATGAAGTTTACATATTAATGGAAATCATAGATTTACTCAGCACTAAGATTAAAAAAATCCTAAATTAGAAAAAGTCAGTCATTGCTTTCATATGCTCAAGTATTTTAGACTATTCATTCACTCATGCATGTGACAAATATTTATGGAGTACTTATGAGATGCCAGACATTATAAATATGGATTTATTCCTTTTCGCTTGTTTTGCCTAATTAGCAGAAGTATATAACTAGGTCCTTCCTTCATTGTTCCAAAATCCTTGTGTGCCCTAAACGCTTGAAGGTCAGGATCAGAAACACACCACACCAACTAACCATAGGCCTGAGCTTTTGGAGATACAATACTTATCTCCTCTTATTATTCCACCCCACCTCAACCCAACTTTCCCATATCCCTGGGTGCAGGGAAAGTGAGCCATCACAGATAGTCACTGTCCCTTTTGGGACTTCTGACAAAATGGTAAAAATTAGGATCCTGGGCAGATGCTTCCCCACACTTGCCTCAAGGACAGTTTGCCTCTTACCCACAGAGTACCCAGGCACAGCAGAGAATGAAAAGCTACAGCCCGAACCCTGAAGTTCCAAGGGGTTTTTTAAATTTGTTGATCAGTGCTTAATAAAGAGCATTTACTTGTGGTATTGAGAAATAGAGTCTTGCCTTATCCAAGCTGCCCACCCCACCCTCAATGGCACCACCTGGGTATACACCTACTCTCAGCCTGATTAAATCCTGCATCATTTCCTGACCATGAAGCACTTTTCTTCCAACATATCTTTGCTTTAGTCATTCAGTATTCCAGTGTGTATCTGTTCTCCTCAGATAAACAGTAAGCTGCTGGAGGTAGTGGCCTAAGTCTGATGTGTCTATATCTTTCCCTCCGGGTTAGGGCTCAGTGTATATTTAGGGGGTGATTGTTGACTGAAAACAGTCCCAAGGTTCTGGGGTCTCATTTTCATAATTACTTGGGTCTGTCTTTACACAAGTGTCAACCATTTTGTGAGCCCAGGAAAGGCAAACCAAAGGATGCCAGAAAGGTGTTTAATTGGTGTTTTCTGTATAATTTCAAACGACCATCTGATTTGCAGAAAACCTATGTTTTACTAATTAGCAGGGGGAGTCATGACAGGCATCATGAACTTTTCCATAAAATAACATTTCTGTTCTTGACAGCATGTCAGGTCATTAGAGACAAGCTTTACATTCATCACTCCAATAGCGCAGAATAATCAGGGTTTCATTCCTTTTTGAAAATAAATGCCATGATGGGCATTTGAACAGCCAAAATCATCCTCCAAATCAAACCATTTGCATTCTGCATCTATTTGCAAATTTGTCAATTACAACCAAATCTTGCCTTTAAATCTATTTTTGAGTAAAGTTGACTTAATGTTGTCAGTTCAAGGACATGTAACATTCAAGACACTTTGGTCATCACTTATGCTACTTCCTTCACACACACACACACACACACACACAGTCACTCACTCAACTTCTTCTTCCACAAAGTACCCATGTAGCTATAGGGGGAGCAATGGATGTGGGATTTCCTTAGGACACAGTTTCATAGGGCAAGAGGATTGACTCTGATGGCAGGTTTTCAGGGTTATGGGCCTACCTACTTCTAAATATTATGTGTGATAATAGAGGAGACAAGGAGGGCTAGGATCTTTATACCAGTGACTGGTATCAGGTCTCCATCTGTTTAGTAGTCAGCATTACATTTTGCTTAGAGGATCCAATGTGGCACCTTTAATAGGGTAGACATGGTGGGTGGAGTCATGAATAGATGAGGGTAAGTCAATTAGGGTTCAAAAGAGAAAGGAGTTAAGATGTACCATGTTTCACTATACTAGAACATTTTCAGACCTCCTATCATTTAAGCCTCACTTCAGTTCTAGGATGAATATACAATTCATTATTTCTTCACAAGGTCACACACTTAGGAAGTGACAGAGCTGGAATTTGAACCCAGCTCTGATGTCTCCACAGCCCACTGCATCATACATATTCACAAAGGTAATGGAAAAGTGATTTCTGGTATTGAAATCCAGGAGTTTATCTTTCTCACTGGAAAGGTCTGTTTTTCTTTATTTTTGCCTTCATTTACTTATTACGCATAAAAGGTAATACACTCTCCCAATACAAGATTCAAAAGATACAAAAAAGGAATAGGGTGAAAATTTTCCTTTCCTCCTTTGTCTCTAGATACCCAGATTTCCTCCTAGAAAGCAATCACTAATACCAGTTGCTTGTGTATCCTTCCAGAATGCTCATCTCTGTACTCATTTCTACCCCAAAATGTGAGCAGCACACTTGGCTAGGAAGCCTCAGTGGCAGTATGCTTAGCCACAGAAGGCAAAACTGGTGAAATCCATCTTCACTGGTCACTCTGTTGCCTTTGGGTGACCCTTCTCATGTTCATCCCTCTACTGTCCTCCTCACCCTGACCTGGCCTTTTGTTCCCAAGGGGAACCACCAGCTTCTGACAATTCTTTATCTGTTTCATTCCTTAGGACCCTGCCTGCTGTTTCCTGAGGGGGTGTTTTGGCTGAGAAATTAATCCTCGCTAAGGAATTCATGGGTGTCTGTGGATTGATGAGCCACTCTTCACAAAACAAGTTTACATTTTAATAAGGGGCTTCAATCAAAAGTGTGACTTGAATAATGGGGATTTCAGGTGCTTTGGCATGACAGACCTACAGGGCAGAGTTTCCCCCCTCCCCCCAAAATGTATGACTTTGTGACTTTCCTTATCCACTTCCCTTGTGGGTGTCAGGTCAACTGGCTATCCTGAAACTTTGGCCACCTGAAATTGTTTGACTCCCAAGGCAGGTCAGTAAGAACACCAGTCTTGATTTTTCCTTTAGGATGTGTACACTTAAGTTTTTGAAACAAAATATCCAATGCTGTAGATATTTATCCCCTAATATATTACAACTATAGGCTCAAGTCTTACCCAAAGAAATAAACAACTATAACAATGAATAAGTGAATTATTCTGACTTTAATATTTACTAAATGTTATCTTATTCTGGCCCTTTCAATATAGAATTTAGAATATAAGGTTGGAGCAAATTGTTTCACAAATTCAACATTTTCCCCAATCTGGGGCTGGGGGAGGTGAGCATCTCTGCTGGGATTTATTGAAAAAAATGTTGTTTGTGAATGGAATTTATTTTTATTTCCACAGGTAATATTCTTCTTACATAATTAGGCACAACTTCACAACTCAAGGGAGAGAAACAGGAGGGATCTTCTTCAAAGTTATCTGCATTAAAGAAAAAAAGAACATTTTTAGCTGTGGTATCAGGGACTTTGCACTTATGGAAGCATAAGAACGTTTTATCAAGTGAAAAAACTGAATAAAGAAATTTAAAAGAAAGTGAAGGTTATTAGATAGTTTAATGTAAATCCAGGGTGAGTGAATTCATCCTGACAGCACTGTTTGGGCAACGAGTGCAAAGATTCTTCCTGCATTGTGAAGAACAGGCAGCGTTACTGATCTTAACCTTAACCTATGGGAGGATATTCACGCACAGACCTTGAAAGCCTTCAAGAAGAGGCAACACAAAATGGAAGCACACACATCTATACCCTCTATAGATTTGATATTCTTGCACTGAATGTTTGCTTATTTCTCAAGCTTGAGAGTGCCTGGTGGTACAATGGGCATGCTTTTTCACTTCGTGCTAAAGACAACGAACTTCTGGTTGCCACAAATATGAAGGTAGCATCCAGATTTCACTTTTAGGACATGTAGGTGGTCTACTTGCTGCCACTGGCTCCATTACTGTCACAACTGATGGGCACTTTGATGCTGACTCTCCAGGTCTATTGCTTGGTACAACATTAAAATCCTGGACATAGTATTTGCTATCCCTTCTCCAAAGCAAAATATGTACACATTTGGGCTGTCTATTTGCTAATGAAACAATATCCTCCAGGGACAGCAGGAAGAGCCAATACTAATCAATCCTTTTGCAAAAATGATATTACCCAATCAGCCCCAACTATTATCTACCAAGGAGCTTCTACAACCCATGCTTTCTCTATGCCACGGCACTCCAGTGTCTCCTCTCCATATGGGCACCAGAACATATCCACAGGTTAGTGTGCTGGAATCTGATAAACTCTTTTGACCAAGAAAAGATTTTATCATGTGCACTACTAACTTTCTCATATAAAGATGGAGACTGAGACTTTATACACCAGTCAATTAGTCTAAACTGGAAAATAGTGTTGCCTCATACACAACTCTGAAACTGGTAGACACTTTAGAAATTATCCATTCTAGCCCCCTCATATTAAAAGTAGAGAGAATGTAGCTCAAACAAGGAAGTGATGTGCCCAAGATCACAGAATTAGTGACGAGCTGGAGCTTGATCTAAAGCCTCTGAACTCCAAGTCTGGTGCTATTTTTTTAAACCCACTATGCTGCTTCCTGATTGAATTCAGCCCTTGAAAATAAAACTGGTTCTTTGTTTTGTTTTGTTTGAGCCAACAAAGTGGATGAGGCAGTCCTATCACTAGCACTGAGGAGGTGGGAGAATGACTACAGCAAGGCCACTAAAGGTGGTCTATATGTGTGTGAACTGGAGTTGGCTTTGGTCCTAAAGAAAGGCAGTCAAAGACCACTGAACCATGATTCAGCTAGAAGCACAGAATACATAGTCAATCACAACATCAGCATGAAGTCCTTGTGTTTTTCCTCACTTTACCTTTCTCATGACCTGTAAATCAATTCTTTACCTACATTTTCCTCTCAACATCCCATCCCTGTCTCAATATCTGTCTCTACCTAGAAATATGGCTTCCTATGGAAGAAGCTCAGCATGTAAGAGTGATGTGTAGCTTGAAAGTACTGTTGGTAGGGAACACTAGTCCTGAGAGACAGAAGACGTGAGTTTCGGCCCCAGTTCTGCTGTGGATGAACTGAGTGACTGTTCATAAGGCATTTTCCTTTTTCCTGATAAAGATTCCTTAACTGCAAAATGAGAGGATTAGACTAGACAATGTCTAAGGTTCTGTCTGCTTTCAACAGTCTGTGAGAGTTTTTAATACGCATGAATTTTTAAAATCTCCAATCTCTTCTTTCCCCCATTAGCTTAATAACCCATCAGATTTTTACATACTAAGCTCACTAGGTATAGAAACATCTATACACGCTTCAGTACACAGTTCTCTGCTTCTATACACGCTTTATCAGCCAAGATTGGACCATAAGACCTTGTATATGGTCTCATGTCAATTCACTGTCTCTGGAATATACAAGACAAGTGCTCTAACTCCTGAGCTAAGGAGCCAGCTTCTGGAATATAAATGTAGACGATGCAACATTTTTTTTCTCACCATTTTGGAAGCTTATTTCTGAAGGAGTGCCATGTACAGAACTGAAAGATTTTAAAGTAGAGCTAGTTGCAGTTGACTTGAGAGATGGTGTCAAAAGTTTATGTTCAAACGTTTTCTTCAATCGCTCCTGTTTATACCCAATGTTTATACCATACTGGCTGTTCCCATCTGAAATGATATCCAAAAAAGTTAAAAATGTAAAACTCATCAGATTCTATACTTAAAATGGGTGAGTTTTATAGTATATAACTTATATACTTCAGTAATCCTGTTTAAAAACATAGTGCTCAATGCATGCGATGTTCATTCTGGGCTCCTCAATGAGTCAGCTTTTCTATGAATTTGTGAGAAGTACTGTAATGTGTGGTACAGGAAGAGCCAATCACTTACCAAGGATGCCTGTTTTTCCTAAAACACAAGAATCAGCAGGTTGATGATATGCCCAGCATAAAGGCAGGGGGACTTCAGTGCTATTGTAAGATCTTAGACTTCAAGTGCTGCCTTGCCTATAGGAAGTAGACTGGGCTTTGTGTTAGGACTGAGAGAAGCTGTCTGAATTGGATGAAAGGTGCCTTTGATATATAGAACATCAAATTTGCCTGCACTGGAGACATTCTCAAGGGAAGCACCAGTGTTAAGAGGCAACATTCGAGTCCACTACATCTTCCATTTTGCAAGCCATCAGTCCACCTGGGCAGCCCACTGGCTAGGCATCTTAGGAATGCTGATAAGTTCCCTCCACCTCTGCCAACTCCTTGCTTGCCACATCCACTCAACCCACTTCTGGCTACTGGCCAGAAGCGCCTGTGACCCAGTGATTGGAACACAGAGGGCACTCAATTAATACTCTTTTAATTGAATTGAGACTGAGGTGACAATGAGGACAAGCAATCTGGGCCAAAACAAAAATTTCCCGAGGTTAAAATATGCCCCAAGTCACATTCTTCACTTGGTTTCATTCATCTCAGCTCAAAAGCACAAATCATTTCATGACATGGAAACAGCTTTAAGTTTAACGCCTATGCTGTGTGAATTCAAGTTAGGAGGCAAGTTAATCTGATCAGCTTTGTAAAACATGTAAAATCCAAAACCTTACCCAAACTGGTATCTTACCAGAAGAGTTATCCAGTCGCAACCACCTGCAACAAAGGTTTATCTGCCACTGCTCTCGCACACTTTCCTTCATCACGCAGTGAAACACAAAAATGAGGAATCCTAAGCCGGGAGAAGAGGGTCAGTTTTTTCAGCTTCTTTCACCAGTTACCACCAATGACTCAGGCCTGCTTCCAAGGAACTCAAGGGCCATTATTGGTTTTCTGATCTCATTTTTCTAGCCTCTCTCCCAAAGGGAGTGATAGCAAAAAGGTCTGTATCAAGACATCGTGTCAACCACTGTTTTGTCTCTGGAGTATTAGGTTATAAACGATCTCTCTCTCTCTCTCTCTCTCTCTCTCTCTCTCTCTCTCTCTCTGTCTCTCTATTTCTCTCTCTGTCTCATCACTCACTCTGAAGGAAGCCAAGTATTTTGTCTTGAGGAAATCCTGGCATCCCTGTAGGAAGGCCCACATGGTGAGGAACTGAAGCTTCCAGTCCACAGCCACGAGAGTGAGCCTTCCTGAAAGCAGATTCTCCAGCCCCAGTCAAGTTTTCAGATGACTGCAGCCCCAGTTGGAAGCTTGACTACAACTTCATGAGAGTTCCTGAGCCAAAAACACCCAGCTAAGCTGCTCCTGAATTCCTGAGCCTTATATACTGTGTCAAATAATAAATGTTTATGGTTTTAAATCCTAAAATTTGGAAGTTATTTGTTATACAGCTATAAATAGCTACTACACATGCTCTTTGGCACCATTACCTCATGTGAAAACTATGTATGTAGTGCCCTAAATTTCCACTGCCAGCCCTGAGTTTGTCCTGCAAGTGGAAGAGGGGTTGAAGGTATCTGCTATTTCTCACCCTCACCCTCTAAAATATGTCCTTGAGAGATAAAGACAGGACTTCAGATGATTCTGATTGCAAATTCACTGCAGGACCAGTTTGATTTCCTAAAATTAGTGGTGGGATTGGCAGAAATAACTCCTATCAATAGCCTTTTATTGATGGTCAATACCAAAATTCTTTACCCACAAAGTCTTTCCAGATGCCTCCGAATGAAATTCATTTTTCCCACTTCTGAACTCCCATAATGCTATGTTTCTTATATTATTTGCCATATTTATCCATATCATTCTCTATGTATTGCTTAGCTCTCTACCTAGCTGTTAGGTCTTTGAGGGTTGAGGTATGTTTCCTTTTCATATTTATATCACTTTTCCTTTTTGCCTTTAGTACTAAGTGTGACAGTTGAAAAGATGTTTGTTGATTTTAATTCTAAGACATTTGTTACAAAAATTCTCACAGCCCTCTACAACCTTAGCAATACTTGCTTGAACCTCAAAATATCTGTTTTGGCCCAACTGCAGTTTGGAAAGCTTTATTTTCTATACAGGGTTCAGCTCACCTTTACATTGGCTAGCTGTCCTGATTAGTATCGAAAGGTCTTAAATCACTGCAAACTAAACATAAGTCAGTAATAAATGCTACCAAAGTTAATTTCCGCTAGAGCATTAGTGATAGTAAAGAATCTTGATGGAGGTGGGTGAGAGTCTCCTGCCATTCTGCCCTGGTTTGACTCTACTTTGCACCAGCACTATGTTCAGTTTGGGAGGCTTTGTTTTAGGAGGTTAATGTCAAACAGCAGGATTCTAGAATTGAGTGAACAGGCATAGTGATGAACTTGAGGAGAAGCTGAAAGAGCTGAGGTGCTCTATCTGGAGAAAAAAAACTTGGAGTGGGAAATATATGGTGAGGAGAGATGGTAGCTACAGTCACAGATCTGAAAGGACTGTCATGAGGACAAATGAGGCTTGTTCTGTGTGGTTGCCAGGTTAGAATTGGTAACAGGAGAAAGGTACAAAGCAACCATGTACTAACAAATCACAGTTAATGTTTATTTAGCAATGACTACGTGATAGGAATTGTGCTATTAGTCTCATTTTTATAGTTGAAAGAACTCGAAGTCCAAGAAGTCTAGTAAACTTAGTGGTAGTAAAGAATCCTAGCTGGGCTCGGTGGCTCAGCCTGTAATCCCAGTGCTTTGGGAGGCTGAGGTGAGTGGATTGCCTGAGCCCGCGGGTTCGAGACCCGCCTGGGCAACTTGGCGAGACCTCATCTCTACAATAAAATAAAAATTAAGTCGGGCGTGATAGCGCACACCTGTAGTTCCAGCTACTTGGAAGGCTGAGGCGGAAGGATCGCTGGAGCCCACCAGGTCAAGACTGCAGTGGCCGGGAGCGGCCACTGCACTCCAGTCTGGGTGACAGAGTGAGACTCCAACTCAACAACAACAACAAAAGAATCTTGATGGAGGTGAGTGAGAGAGAGTCTCCTGTCATTCGGCCCTGGTTTGACCCTATCTCTCACCAACATCATGGAGGTGTTAAGGTCACAGAGCGAAGATTAAGCTGGCAGCATCATGAGTGAAAACAGGTGATCTGAATGCAGAGCCCAAGGTCTTGATCACTGTACTGTACTAGCTTCCAGTAGGGAAGACCGGTATGAGATTTATAGCTGATTAGAAGTTAAATGCTCTGCTTTACGGAATGGTGAGCTCTTGGTCCCTGGAAAGTTTTCAGGCAGAGGCAAGTGATTTTCTGTCACTTGATGGAAAGTTAGATTAAGAAGATCTTGGTTCCCTGGCCCCATCTCTGAGACTCTCTGCTTCCAAGTGGGAGGCAGCAATCTGGAGGCTAAACGGAATGGCTTGTCTCACTAACTCTCCTGAGGGTTTTATCTCCATTTGTAACCAAACAACTGTGGTGATGAAATCAGCAGTGTTCACTGTTTTCTGAGCAGCAGCCACCTGGAAGGTGGTGCAGCACCCTGAGGAAAGCAAACTCCAGTCTCAGAGCAGGTAAAACTCTTCCAGCTTCAGCAAGAACAAGGGACGTCAGTGACATCAAGCACCGATTACTTCTCCAATTTCTTGCATGGAGTTTAGTGAGACTTAAAGGTTATTCTGTGAATGCCAATGAGCTGCCTGCCAGCTCTCCCTCTCTGCCTGACAGCCTCCCTTTTTCTTTCCAACAACAGATTGATCTGCTTACTCACTAGAAGAACATAGGCATGAGGGAAGATGTCAGGTTTTTGTCACCTGCATTTTTATCTGTGCATTCCTCCTTCACAAATAGCTCATCATGAGCATAATTTTTTCCCACTTGGCCATCAAGCTATCCATCTTCAGCCAACATTGCATGCTTGCCATTCGTCTTTTAAATGGCTAGTTTGCTCATTTGTTCCATTGCATTCCTGTTTTGAGATTATTTGGATCGTGTGTGTGTGTGTGTGTGTGTGTGTGTGTGTGTGTGTGTGTGTGTGTGTGTGTGTAACTTGAGTTTGAAACTCAGGGCTCTGAAAACACCTTCACTACAAGATGGCACCTTCTCCCTTGTAGACAGGAGTAGGAATGCTCGGTGCTTGACTGACATGAAGCATATCTGACAGACAGAGACAACTTGGCTCTGTTGATGCTGGATCTATGGGATTTTGGTTTTAGTCTTTAAAAAAATACCCAATTAAATTATGCTTCTATTCATCTAGGCTTCCTGCTTAGATACTACTTTCTACCGCAGGAATGGTTTTGAAAACACCCTTGCCCCTCCTATTTAAGCTAAAAACTGTTTTGCTTTCATGTTTTTTTGCTAGCTTTTCTTTTAACCCCGCTTTTCAAAGAGTGAGCACAGTTCTCCAGAATCAGTGAGTTAAACAGAAGCTTGCAGTTATCACTATAGAGGAAGTCTGCACAGGCACCTAGTTCCTAATCTACTTCTGTGGACATTCTACATGAAGGTTGGTTAGTTCTTAAGGTTAGAGCATTGTGCCAGAGTATTGAGTTAGAGTACTTCAGTATGGGCTAGGCAGTCCTTCCCAGAGGGAAAGTGTAGAACCATCACTAGGAGCTCAGTCATTAATTTAGGGTACGTCCAAGGGCCTGTATCCTCAAAGGAAATCAAGTGAGAGTGCTATGGTATCATATCAGTAATAACCAGAGGCAACAAAAATGGCATGGAGAGAAAGAGCAACACATTTTGTGACTTTTTACATTTCAATTCAAATATGGCTGTATGAGGTTGACAGAACTTGGTGGGACAAAAAGTTACAGCTGATCTGCCTGATTGCTCTAAAATGAGATGGTTTCTTGAGTCATAAGACATAAAGACAAAAACTATGCCTTATGTTAGATTGCTTCCCTATTCTCCTGCAGCACTTTGCAAGTGTCTGGCATGTCATGACTGCCCACCAATTTATATTTCCTAAGGTTCCTTGGGGGCTAACAACCACCACAACAAAGGATTCTAAGGTTTTAAAAATGCTAGGTTAAAACAAATTTTTAAAGGCTTTTTTGTTTCCAGCAGAGCTTTTACTATGCTAATGTGCACTGTGCTATTCCCAAAGTGGGGGAAAGTAGGTTACCACATTTATCAGACTTCTTTGACCATAGAACTTTTTCCTTGCTGGAATATCCAATGGAACCACCAGTGGACTGCACTTTGGGAAAAGGAGTTTATTGAATGAAAAAAAATTATGGAGAGCAGTAAGGGAGACCTTAAGTCAATAGAATGCCAAGTTAACTCCCAGCCTGCCTCAGTAGCTTGAATATACTGGGTAAAACTTAAGATTAAAGCATAGAATGGCGCTTGAGACTTCCACAAAGTCATTTTGCAGGTCTCTTGCTTACAATATATATATTTTGTAATTGGCAAAATAAGATTAAAATGAATATCAACAATTACTCAGAGGTATATTAACCAAATCCCTAGCTTTTACGTTTCCTGCTATCTTTTGTCTACCATTTAATCACTTCATTGATCATTTGTTCTTTTCACCAGAATACAGGAAAGATATTAAAGAGCTATAGAGCCTTTAGCATAGGATCATCTAATTCAACCAGTCATGCTGAATTTCTAAAGGTCCTTTTATAGCAAAACCAAGACTAGAACTTTGGCCTGTTACCTTGGCCCATAGCCCTTTTCTTTTAACTTTCCTTCCTGTATGACTCTACAATATCTTAGCCTGGCTCTTTCCCAGAATATTAAGATATCTGATTCAGACACAATCTATGAGGTCAAAACTTTAATGTTTCTACTGTCCAGGTCATCACTGTGCTCAGTTGGACTGTGGACTTCAAATTGTCAACACAAGTATGAATCTGTATATTTATGAGCACAAGGTGCTGATGCAATGAGTAAGAAGTACTGTCAACCAGTATCTGATGCAGACATTACCAGCTATTGCCAACCAGTATTTGATGCAGATCACCAACTAGCTAAAGTTAAGTTAGCTACCTGGGCTTCTCCCTACATCCTTAAGTAAGAGAGACAGGGCTGTGCATGTATTTAATGAAGGCTAACATCTAGCTAATGTTTCCAGTGGTTGACTGTCAACTCAATGAGTGTAGGAACTTGTTGGAGTAATTTCTCCTTTGAGTCTCAGACAGGTGAGAGTATTTTCCAAAGCAGCAAAAGGCTTTGGTGGATGTCTACCTGGCCACAGAAAAGACAAAGCAGCAGCAGTTACCTTGCAAAGTATTAAAAATGGCGAAAAGATACAAGGAAAAGATCCTCACGGGTCCCCAGGCAAAAAAAGCAAATCCCCAGGTGAGGCCAAGTAAGAATGTCAGGCTTGTTGTGCCTTTGAGATCGTACAGGATCATCTTCCGCCGAGTCTTCTGGCTTTGGGATTTCACAGAATTCAGTTGAGCAAGAACAGCGCAGAATATGGAGAGATTCATGAGAAATATGAGGCAAAAATAAACCACTACTGAGATGTAAAAGACAGAATCATCTTTAATCCAACAACTGTAAGAAACAAAGAAGATTATCGTGAGGTAGGAAAACATAAAATCCTATTTCTCAGAGACTGCAGCTCATCTAGTCAGTTTCATTTGACCTAAGGACACCTAGACCTAGAGAGATGAATCACCATGTCAGAGTTCACTCACACCCATTGGAGACAGAGGTGGGGCAAGAACCTCAGTCTTCTGAGCTTTAGTTCAGGGTTCTTTCCAATGCCAAGTTAGAAATGTTAGAGGCTGTTTCTGCCCTAAATTTGCAGAAATTTCTCAGTCCAATTCCCTAGGAAACTATTATCTACCTCAACAGTAAAAAAAAAATATGCATTTCCTCCCCCAAAGTGACTCTCCCCCCACCTTATATCTCAGGTTTTATTTGCAGGATGAATTCTACTTTGCATGATAAATATCACAGTGAAAGGACACGAGCAAATAGTGGCTTTTCTGAATGTTATATCAAACAATGATGAAATTATTAAAGTTAATGAAAATGCAACAAAAAGAGAACAGCTCTAGTTGTGCTGTTTTAAAATATGATGTCTTTGGACTATAAAAGGCAACACTGGCCACTGGACTGACTAATGGCTCTACAATAGTTATTCAAAGAAAAAATATGCAGTGGTTCATATGGACAGCTACCTCATTTAATAACATTTCCAATTACTGGAAGCATTGCCTCTGATTTTTGAACATAGACAAGCTTGACTACTTTAACTATGTGTCAACTTATCTTAGCTCTCTTTTCTAAAACCAAGAAAGTCCCTTTTGGTCATGTTATTTGTGTTGCTGTGGATACTTTCACATATGTGTGAGTTTCTGTGTGTGTGTGTGTGTGTGCGTATGTGCGTGTGTGTGTGTGTGTGTGTGTATTGCAAAGTTGTGAAAAAAAAACCATTTAATTCCTTTAATAGAGTCTATTACTTAGGTTCCCTGAATATCATCTTCAGCCTTAAAGGAGGCAATGGAAAACTTTTAAAATGAAGTAGTATTATATCTTTGGTAGAGAATCACCTCCAAGATATATTGTTAAATGAAAAGAGCAAGGTGTCAAATGGTGTATATCTACCATTTGGGTAACAAAGAGTACAAGTGAATAGCTATACAAATTTGATTGTTGGTAATAAATTGGTAATAAGAGTTATTTCAAAGGAGAAAAACTGGGTAGCTGGGGTTTGGGAGTGGGGCTTACTTTTCCTCCTCTACCCTTTAGTAGGTTTGGATTTTGTTCCATGTGCATGAATTATCTCTTCAAAATACAATTATTTTTAAAAAATAGAGTGATCTGCCTCTTATAACCAATTCATATCTGAAAAAGCTCTTTTGGGAAAAAGTGAAGTTAATTTTGTTCTGGTTTTGCTTTTAATCTTTGAAGAAGAATCACTATTAGATAGATGCTGGGGACTTTTTAAGTCACAAAACAGGCAAGGGGGAAGATAGAGAGGGAGATGAGAAGGAAGAAAAGAGAAAAGAGAGAGAAAGTAAAGATAACAAGAAATTTTAATTAGAGCATATGCTTCAAAGGGCAATATAATTTTGACCCTGTGGAAACTGTGACTCTCAAAATGAAATACGAGGGAATTTGGGGAACAGGATTTCCTACATTTGATTCCAGTCCAGTGGGAGAGAATACTTATAGTGGAAGAGAACTTGAGAGGCAACAATAAAGAGAATGGAACAATCAGAAGTGTTACATGAGATTGTGCATTATAAGGGACCACAAGGCAATGATCTACATGCCTGTAAAAGAAGGTTCTGGAGAGGTGGGGTGATGTGAATTACTACTCTCTTGTAACTGTGATTAAGAGAAACAAAGAGATGGGCTTATACATCAAATTTTAAAAAGGAAAAAAGAAACAACAAAGCTGAACCAGCTTATAAAGGAAAGCTGTGCAGTATTCTTCAGGGAAGATCTTCGTTGTTGAAAGGTAGAAAATGTCTTCCACCTCGTCTCAGTATTTCCTTGTAGTGGCCACTAACTCTTTTCAATAATCAGATCTGTATATTTTGTAGTCGTAAGAGCTGCCAGTTATGTAGCACTTACCATGAACCAGACAACATGATGTGCGTTTTATAAACATGATATTATTTTAATTTGCACATGACATTGAAAGTAAGCATTATTATCCCCATTTTCCAGAGGAGGAAATGGAACTAAGAGGTAATGTAACTTGACCAAGTCATAGAGAGCCCACGTACCTAACTAACCATTACATGAGTGAGTTTCTGTATGTGTGTGTGTGCATTGCAAAGGCCGAAGGGCTTAGACTGCATTCTCTCTGAAGCCAGCGTCAAGACCAAGTCCCAGGCCGGGAACACCTTACCACACCTTGCCTGGCCAGAGCCCCACCACCTGAGAAGCAGAGATGCCAGTACTTACAATGGTGTTGTTGGGCTCAGAGTTCCATACGGATCCTTTTTCACACTGACTATGATTGCCACCATGATCGCTGGGATTCCTGGAGTAGGAAAACAAGCCAAAGGCATTTCATTAGGTAGCAAGGGAGGGATTCTGGTCAATGGCTGTGGGCATTAATACATCAAGACTCTGTTTAAATGAGCCACAGATGTGCTACCATCAAAATACCCTTGTTTGCAAAATGTTTGTGAATTCTTACAAGTTAAACATTTCTAGGAGTTCTCCAATCTGCTAAACTAAACGGCATGCCAATGGCTTCAATACAACACCCACTAGTTATTAAAAATAGCTCAAATGCCAAAAAATCAGTTTGGAAAAAGAAGTATCTAGTTTATCAGAATGCAAGTCCACATTATGCGTGTCTTCTCAGATGGTGGGTCACCAATTTATTCTCCCTTTCAATATCGCCCCTTAGTTCCCAGTATCTTTTTGTCTAGGTCACCTTGGGGGAAGGGCACAGGCAATCAGCTGCAGCTTTCAGTGCTTTTTTTTAAAAAGGGAAGTTGTTTCCACACTTGCTACTAGTTTGACATTTTGACTAGATGGACCAGTTAACAACCAGTCAATTCAGTCAGACAATAATATAGCAATCACCTCAGTCAAAATGATCAGATGTGCTGAGAGTATAGACACAGGGTTTAAAATCCAATTTCATGTACATTTGCAAAACTTAAAGGATTTCGTTATTTCTCAAATAGTGTTTCTCCTAAACTAAGAGCATACACCTACACACATTTGAGGGGTTTTGTAACATACTTTCCAAAGCTGTTCCAAACCCCAGAGTGCCAAGCATCTTGAAAAACCCTCCACTGTCCTGTTCTGTGATAAACATGGCAATCTCTTGAAATCTGTGTAGCTCACACCTCGCATAGTGCCTAGAATGCCGCAGATATTTTTAAAAATATCTTCTGGTGGATGGAAAGGAGGTATGGAGGGAGGCCTCACATTTAGGATAAAAGCTGTGCTTATATTTTGAACTTTTGAAAAACTCATACCCACTGGTTGCTTGTCATTTTAAAAATGTGAACAAATCTACTGCCTCAGACAGGGATTTAAATAAAAGAATAAAAGAATAAACCCTTTCAATGAGTTGCTTTGGCATTAGGAAGGCAGAGCTTCAAACATAAACAGACACTAATATTTATTTTCCCTACAGTTGAATGCCTTTGTCTAATATTTAAGTGCCCCAGAATTCCCTGTAGAAGGACGGTTCAGCAGTGACTCCGTGGTGAACTCGTACATATCCACATAGGCCACACACGCAAAGGCTTACCTGAATTTTGGCAGAGTGCCCTGTGGTCCTCCACGAATGTGAAAAGACACAGAAGGCTTATGAGGAGGTGCTCTGAAGCCATCTCTTACTAGCTTCCCTGTCTCCTCTGGGAAGCTGTCATGAGACAGTTTCTTGCCACCTCCCAGGGTTCTGCTGAGGTGTGGGGCTTTGTACCCTGCCCCCTCAGAATAGAGCAGCAGAATAGAAAACAGCATAGCTTTTGCTTAGCTCTGGCTTCTCAGCAACAGAGAATCCCACAACTCAAGTGCTAGTTACCTATTCTCTTTTGTTTTGGTGTCGTTTTTTTTAGTGTGTGGGACAAGAACTTGTGAGTTGGCATTTTTAGCTACTCTTCCTTCCGCTGTCTGTGTAAGTGATAGCCTGAATCTAAGAGTGACCACTTATGCTCTTTCCTTACTAGTTGAGCCAGTCAGGCTTTGGCCTTGGCTTTGCCTTGGCTTGTGTGTGTATACCTCAAGATTTTCCTGCTTCCAAGTACCAAACGTTAGCCTTTCTTGCCTCTTCCTGTACCCCAAGAAGTGTGTGTGGAGTGAGAAGATCAAAGAGACAAGAAGTGAACCCTGGAGGAAGAGTTTGAAAAAGAAGCTAAGAATGAGTGATGTTGAAGGAGGACAGCCAGGATGGAGTGATATTTAAAACCCTTCCACAATTGCCCATGTGTAGGCTATCTGCTTTGGGGATTATTCATGAAGGCTCTTCCACAACATTTTTCAATCCTCTGATTGAATCAAGATGAGGGACGCCAGGTACAAAGGGGAGTGTATTTACTGCCTTTGGCTCTGTATTTCTGATGGATTCCAAAGTGTACTAAAACACGTTTTTAGATTATGCTCTGTTCAGTATTTGCCTGTCTCTGCTCTCCACATTAGCATAGATAATAACACTGACTGTGTATCCAGTGAAAGCATGTACTGTTAATGAACTCATTAACAGGATGAGTAGCTAATTAGGAAGCTATTGTCTTCACAGAGGCAGTGGAAGATAAAATCGATCTTCCTATGTATCCTATGCATCCTAGTTAATACATACCACCTATGCATCTAACACATTTTCTAAAGCCAAAATCTATTTTGAATAGGCAAGAAAGGGAAGGAGGAGATGACCATGTCATCAGAAATACAGGAAAGTAAACCAAATAAATGGCATTTATATTCAGAAATACCTATGCTGAGTACCATTCCTGGCTTCTTCCAAGAACAGCAGTGATAGTCACAGTCATGAAGTGTGATAAGAGACAGGTCCTGGCTGGTCTGGCACCCTTTCACCCATTTCAAGTCCTTCCTCTGTTTCTTAGACAATATGGCAAGACCATAGTGATTAAAAGTCCAAACTATGGAGACAGACACCATGGTTCAAATCCCAGCTCTGTCACTTACTAGCTGTGTGAATTTTGACAATCTTTCTGTGCCTCAGTGCCCTCACCTATTAAATGGGAATAATGATGAAACCCATCCCATAGTGATATTGTGACAATTAAATGAATATGTAAAGCACTTAGGATAGTGTCTGGTACATGTTAGTGCTACCTACGTGTTAACTATTACATCAGTATTTGTTGTGACTGTAATTCCTGTAAAGGGAGGAAGAAAATCTGACAGGTTCACTACTGTAGTGGCAGCATCTAGCAGAGCACACAAATAGTAGAGGCAGAAGATGAGACATACATCCCAACTTCAGTGAGGCAATCTTTAATTTTTTATCTATGATATTAACAGAATTTGGTCCCGAGTAATCTGTCTAATGAAGCTAGAATTAGAAAGACACACAAGCTTAAAACAGAGACATCAAGGACAATGGTAGTTATACTTACCCCAACCAACAAGACAAAATTTAAGGATATAATTTGGAATGTATATGTTGAAGACTTTGACTAGAGCAAAATACATGTGGACCGCCTCCAAGCCCATCCAAGTCAAAGACACAAGCAGGAAGTAATGAAGTGCCACTGCAGCTGTGATACAAAGCCCCACTTTCTGAAATGATGACAACCAGGAATTGACCAGAAATACCAGGTTTAACATCAATAGTGCTGTGCACAGGTTGATCAGGATTTTAGAAGGATAATCTTTTCGAAGTTTGCTAAAAGAGAAAAAGCAAAGTGTTAAGTTAGGTAGGGTCCCTTTTTAAATCAAGTTTTGCCACTGCTCATCTTACCTTGCATGGACTGAATTTTAGGGTTTCCCACCCTCTTTCTAAGTAGAGTCAGAGTATCGTAAATATTATTCACTAACAGGAATAATATTAGCCTCTCTCAACTAGGTAATCTCTCTTTTTTTTTTTCTTTTTTTCTTCTAAAAAGAAGGAAGAAAGGAGTTTCCTAGATACTATGATTGCATCATCACTGCTACAACTGGCTAAAGATACACATTACCAAATAGCAGGATGACTATGGAAACCATTTCAAGTAGACTTACTTGGATATCTCCAAAGATCTTGACACTTGGCATCATGAAAGCATGGCCTTGAACTTTACTAAGTGATCACAATTTTACTTTGTAGAAAATGACCCAGTATTTTACAAAATTAAAAAAATATATATGTTTTCCCCCTTTGATTCTTTTACACTGCTGTTAAATATTCATTGACTTAAATTTTGAGATTTTCATTTTATGTGAATGTGTTTTTAATGAGGCAAATTGTAAAGTGCACAAATCTTAGGAATGTAACTCAGTGAATCTTTACATATGTATACACCTATGGAACTTCCACCCAGATTAAAAGGTAGAATATTTTCAATGTCGCAGAAGACTCTTTCTTGCTTCTTCCATTCAGTACCTCTTACCAGAGGCAACCATTATTCTCTCTTCTATCCTCGTAGATTTAGTTTCACATGCACAGGAACTTTATATAAATGAAACTATATGGTAGGTTCTCTTATTTTTCTGTCTTCTTTTGCTCAACGCTACATCTATGAGATTTAGATATTATGTTGTATCGTATAGAAGTAGTTCATTCTTTTTACTACTGTGTAACATTCCATTTTATGAATATACCACAATTTATTCATCCCATCAACTGTTAATGTACATTGCGTTGTTTCTAATCTGGACCTACTATAACTGAAGCTTTTACATGTCATTCAGTGGACATATGCACTCATTTCTCTTCACTATATACCTAAGAATGAAATTTCTGAATCAACAGTGAGCCTCATATTTATTTTTAGCAGGTATTGCCAATGAATTTTTCAACGTGTCTGTGCCATTTTACATTCCCACCAGCAGTTGTGTAAAAGTTCCAGTTGTTCCATATCCTTGTTGACACTTGCTATTATTAGTATGTTCAATTTTAGCCTTCTGGTGGGTGTAGAGAAATATCATTGTGATTTTAATTAACATTTCTCTGATGCTTATCATAAGCTATTGACCATTTGAGTATGGTGGCTTAGGCATGGATATTCTCTTTTGTGAGGGGCCTGTTCAAGTCTTTTGGCCATTTTAAAATTATATTGTCAGCTGGGCTCGGTGGCTCAGCCTGTAATCCCATGCCTTTGGGAGGCTGAGGTGAGTGGATTGCCTGAGTCCATGGGTTCGAGACCCACCTGGGCAGCGAGACCTCATCTCTACAATAAATCAAAAAACCAGCTGGGCATGGTAGCGCATGCCTGTAATTCCGGCTACTCGGAAGGCTGAAGCGGAAGGATTGCCGGAGCCCAGCAGGTTGAGGCTGTGGTGGCCGGGAGCGGCCACTGCACTCCAGTCTGGGCGACAGAGTGAGACTCCAAATCAAAAAAAAAAAAAAATTATATTGTCCATTTTTTGCTTTTTGATTTGTAGTTCTTTATATATTCTACATACAAGTCTTTATCAGATATGTGCATTATGAATATCTTTATAAATTTATAGTTTGCCTTCTCACTATCTTGTGGTTTTGTTTTAAAAAGTTCTAAATAAAGTTCACTTTATCAACTTTTTTATGGTTAGTGTTCCTATATCTTGATAGAGAAATCTTTTCCTATTCCAATCCTCTTGCTTTTAAAAAATTCAATTAAAACTAGTATTTAGAGGAGACTTGGTTGTTTTGTTTTTAACCTGTTCACTTTATAAACTAATAGATCTGACCTCTTTCTATTGTGATTTGTTTATGAAATTAACAAGGTTATGGTTATAGTGACAATAGCATCCATCAAACCAAATTAAACTTACTTAGAGCAAGACTGTATCAACTTACTGAAAAACTATGTATGTCACCATTGCAATTCCCAGAAAAATGGAGGAGATTCCACATCCAGTGTATGTTATAAGCACTAATATCTGTTCATTTACTGCATCCACTGTAGACCTGGATAAATCCTAGAGAACACAATATGTTTTATTTTATACATTTGCCAGAGCAAGTTGTATGTAGCAAAAGGCTTCCACTGCTCACTAACAGGAGTTTCCTAGGATGTATAACATCTCTGCTATAGCTCTTATGAAACCAGATTATAGATATATGATAAGACCATATCTTGTTTGCCAAGTATGCCTATTACAACTTACTATGTACAAGCATGGAGAACCATCAACGACCTTGGAAGAACATTAGCCCTTGGTTCCATTGTCATTAACATGTTCCAAATTAAAATGTGGCCAAGCTAGTAGATTTGAATCTGGGATATAAAGTGAATCACTGTCTGAACTGAGTATCCCAAAACACTACACGGAACATCAAAAAAAGCTCCTTTTCCTTAGACCTTAAATAACTTCCACAAAATTAAGAAACAAGATGGACCTTATTGTGCACACAGTCCAGTAATCTTTTGAGGATCATTAAAGACCTAAAATTACATGCAAAGTTATTTGAATCAATGTGTGTATTGGTCTGACTAATAAAAGGTAGAAGCACTGGTCTACTGCGGTAGTTCCCAACTGGGAGCAATTTTGCCCCTCCCTTAGGGACATTTGGCAGAGTCTGGAGATATTTTTGGTTGTCACAACCAGGAAGAGTGCTCCTGGCATCTAGTGGAGAAAGACCAGGGATGGTAGTAAACATCTTCCAATACACACAACAACCCCCCACAACAGAGAATCATTTGACAAGAGTATCAGTAGTGCCAAGATTGAGAAACCCTGGTCTACTCCAATCATTCACATTTTAGAAGAAAAATCTAAGATCCAAACAAGTGAAGCAACCTGACCAAGATCACAAAGTTAGTTACTGACAGAGCTGGAACATGAACACTGGTCTTTTGACTCCTGCTGTAATGTGCTAGCCAATTCAGAGGGAGGTAAATAAAATTATTACAATTCAACAAGTATCAATTGAGCACCTCTTATTTGTTGAATAGCTAGGGTTAAAAAAAGAAATGTAAAAGATCTTCAGTCTTCAAAGAGCTTACCATTAGTTGGAGAAACAATTCATATATGACACATTAAGGTAGCAGTATATAATAAAGTAACCTAAGATAACATGGAAAGTATTCCAGTGTGGGTAGAGAAGAAGGGGCATATTGAAAGCCATTTGGAAAGAAAACCCAGCAAATCCCAGTGGTCTTTCCTAAATTTAGAAATTTTAATGATCAGACACTTTGACCAAGCAATTCTACTTCTGCCAACTTATTCCACAGGAATACTCACACCAGTGTTGAAGGTAAATGAGAGAGAATGTATATTACAGCAATGTTCATAAAAGAGAAAGACAACAACAGCTAAAATGTTCACCTCTCAGGGACTGGTTAAAATTCATTGCGTTAAATCCACACAATTGTATACTATAGAGGTATTTACAAAATTGAAGTAGATGGATATCTATTTGCCTAAAGGTCGTCACATATATATATTCTTAGGTAAAAAAAGCAAGTGGCAAAAACAATATCAATAATTTAATCCCATATTTATAAAACAAAAACACATATTACTATATACACACAAAAAGAATTGAAATGAATATACATGCCAGGCAGTTAAAGGTGGTAATCATTTGGGAGGGAGATTACAGGGACCTTTTCTGTATTGCTTGAAATTGGAGGTGCAGGCATTAATTTTATAAGGAGAAAAATAAATAAATATTTGTCTCAATCTGTTCTACTTTGGAAGAATAAAGTGAGGAGAGTTCTCATTTGCATACCATTTTTTTCTATAACTTAGTTTACACATGTACTACTGATCTGTAGTCTAATACAAGTTGTCAAAATTCAGGTCAGGTGCAGTGGCTTATGCCTGTAATCCCAGTACTCTGTGAGGCCAAGGCGGGAGAATTACTTGAAACCAGGAGTTGGAGACAAGCCTGGGCAACACAGCAAGACCTAGTCTTTACCAAAAAAAAGTCAAAAATATTAGCTGGGTGTGGTGGTGCACGCCTACCATCTCAGCTACTCAGGAGGCTGAGGCTGAAGGATCACCTGAGTCCAGGAGGCTGAGGCTCAGTGAGCCATGTTTATGTCACTGCACTCCAGCCTGGAAGACAGAATGAAACACCAACTCAAAAAAAAAAAAAAATTCTATTGAGGAATGATTAAGAGAAAACTCACCATTAAAACTCCAAAATGGGTGAGGTGGTCACACTGACAGATTGTGTAATTTACGTTTGTTTCCTTTACTTTACAGCCTGATGAATTCCATCCACCCAGCCCATCTGCAGGAGACAGAAGGAAATTTCAAAGCAATTTTGTTTTTCTCAGAAATGTTTAACTTTTCATTATATGCACCATCCAAACGTGTGTTATAATTAGCATTGTTTGTTATGACAGCAAAATAGAGGTATAATTGAACACTGAAATTAAATTAAGTCTAATAGGCTAAATTGACTTTTGAGGGACTTCGTAAATGGCATAACTTCTGTGGCTCTCACTTTTCCCGTTTTTTTTTTACCATACCTCTACAGATTAGGACTCTAATCATTAACAACAGTCCTGTCACCATGCTGAAGTGACAGGCTAAAGGACTGGGTTTTTGTTTGTTTGTTTTCGTTTTTAAGTAGCCAACAAATAGGAAACTGGTAGATCTAGAAGTTTTTGAAGGACATGGACTTATGGAATCTAGGTTGACACTTGAGACTACTCAGAGGGACTGGAATGGCCATCTGAAACAACCGGTTCGATTCAGAATAAATGATCTGAAGTGTTTTGCACCCTAGTCAGAGCATGGCCTGGAGCTCCTTAGGGCCAATTAGAGCCTCTGGTCTACTCGACACCTGCCTGGTTTCTCCTGAGCATATTCAGGATTCTAGCACCAACACTCATTCCTCTATCACCTGTAGATCTCAGGTACTAGACCAGATTTAGAGTAGAACTTCCAGGATGGCACTAGACCAGCGGAGTTATCCCAGGGCAGGCAGTTATGTATGGTCAAATTTGTCCATCTGAGACAATGCCATAGATTCCAGAAGTTCTGCGTCCAAGGCGCAGAAGGGCAGGGGAAAAGGGTGACCCGAGAGGAGCCCAGCAAGATGGATTAATTGCATAGAAATCAACTTATTGAGGCCATGAGGGACAAAGCTCATTGCTTTATAGGATTCTTATTCTGGGAGAATTGGAAGGGACAAGAAAAGGGCAATGTTATTTCTATTTGTCAAAAAGGAGTAGTTTTTCTATACCCCAGGAGCCAAATAGGAAGAGGATTTCCCTTTCCTCCCAGAATTTCAAGGATAGTGAAAAAAGAAAGTTTTCAAGTAAAGCTTCCACAAGCAGAAGGACTTCTCACCTAGCCACCCCTGGCATCCAAGGGGAACTGATTGTATGTAAATTATCTGAGATTTGGCAATATCCCTGGATATTCCAGTGAAAATGATGAGCATAACAGGAACCCATTCAGTAGTAACCATCCCCAACCTCTTCTTTTATTTTCCATGCCCAAGCAAGTAGGGCCCTTAGAGAGCAATCAAGAAGTCTCATCTCCTCAATGAAAAGATTAAAAGGCTGGGTTCAGTGGCTCAGTCTGTAATCCGAGCACTTTGGGAGGCCAAGGCAAGAGGATTACCTGAGTCCTTGGGTTCGAGACCAGCGCGGGCAACTTGGCGAGACCTTGTCTCTACAATAAATAAAAAATTAACCAGGTGTGGTAGTGCACACCTATAGTTCTGGCTACTTGGAAGGCTGAGGCAGAAGGATCACTGGAGTCCAGCAGGTCAACGCTGGGGTGGCCGTTAGCGTGCCACTGCACTCCAGCCTGAGCAACAGAGTGAAACTCCGACTCAAAAAAAAAAGAAAAGAAAAGATAAAAAGATTGGAGCCCAGAGAGGGTAAATAACCTACCTAAGGTCACACAATCAGTTCAGAAAAGATAAAAAGAAAAGAGGGAAGGAGATAGCAGACATTGCAAATCCCTGTGGGAAAGCACAGGTAAAAAGCCAAGTGTTCATTCCTCAACTTTCTTCAAACAGCTCAAGGCTACTCTGCACTAAACCTTCCAAATTTCTTTTTTTTCCAACTTTGTTTACCTCTGAGTTGTGTGATTTTTTTTTAATTTCCTAAATAAATGTCTTATATTTTTAAAAAAGTTTTCTTAATTCCATTTCCCAATTTGATATAAAATCATACCCTCTATCTTGGTCATTCAGAGTGCTCTGGAGGGTCTGGTAAGACAGCACCTTCAACACTGCCCCCACCCAGCTAACTGCCAAATGAGAAAATGATCTTGGGCAAAGGCAAAGCTTGCTAAGAAACTTACTGTTATTCTCAAAATCCCAAAAGGCACAGTCAACATGATCATAATTCTGGGGAAAAAAAAAAAGAGGCAAACATTTTTCCTTGTGATAGTTATCACACAGTGACAAATACATACAAATGTTTTCTTAACATTTTTTTCAAACAGTAGATGCACACACACACACATGCACAGACCATTTCTGAGTTGGTTTTAAGACTAACCCCATCTAACTCTGAATTTACAAGCGAGAAAATAGCATGTCACTGCATGGTGATCTGGTGTCTGCCCTTTAAAATATTTGGTAGCATTGGAATTTACCATGCCTTCCTGCTGCAAGACCCAGGATGAGGCTGGGGGTAGACAGTACAGGACTGATAAGTGGTAGGTGTGCTTTATAGAGCTTTGGAATCTGGGATTCTCAGCTGAGATCAAGCCTTATGAACACAAAGTTGAGCAGTCGCCTCGTTAGACCTACTGAACATTCTTAAGGCCTTGCCAGATTTTATAATCTCCAGGAAACTGGAGGCAATGAGTGATTAGTTTTGGAGGATGATGAAGAGCTATAATCCCAGTCCAAATTGAGAGATCTTACCTCTCGAACATGTTTCATTTGACAACTATTTTATTTGTTAATTCCCTCCCCCTCTCTTCCTTCTCTTCTTCCCTTCTAGAATCAAAACCAGTGAAAAATATGGTGAACCATATGGTGTTTTAGATTGGGAACTAAGGAAGCTATTGAGACTTCACACTGGACATACACTAACATCAAAGAATGGAATAGCGATTCATTCTTATACTAAGGCTAAATTTGATTATTTAGTAATATATACCTTATGTTATGCCATATGACTATGCTTTTAGTCCTTTGGTGATAATTAATACATATTTTAATGTTCTTTATGGAAATCTAAGGAATTCAAATGTTCAATTATTTTTTTAAAAGTTGTTTGCCTCATTCAAAAATAAATGGAATTAAATGTCACTTAGTGTGATGGGACACCCTGTTCCAGTCACTGCCCCACAAATCTGTCACAGTGCTTGAATGGCCACCATTCATTATCCTTTTAGGATAAGGCATTATTTCTAGAAGGCTCCAATTACAACACATCTTTGCTACCTGGAATGAGACATTCTTCATTAAGTCTTAGAATCACATCTGTTAATTAGCTAATTATTTTAACAGGAAAATCATGGAGGGGTCCTGAGACCATTTTATTCTGGGATGAAAATGGATATGTTACCTGATTTCCTTCAGTATGCTGCAGAGTAATAATCACTGGGTCAGCCAAGTTTTGGATGGACATATCTGAAATGCTGGCACTCACAACATATGTGGTTAAAGCTTTAGTGACGTTTTTGGTCTATAAATGAAACATAAAGAAGAGGTACTCAGGTCCTAAATTTCTAATTTCTTACATAGTAATAATCAATCAGGAATTTTGAAGTGCTATGCACAGTGTTGGGTACAGAAATGTGGAAAATAAAATTGCATGCCAAGAATAAGTTTGTAGAGGTCATTCAGCTCATCTCCTGTCTTTGTATAAGGTCTCCATAATACCAAGATAGAAAAATTCATTAATTCACACAATACATCCAAATATCTCTCCAACAAGCATAGTTTTTGCACCCACTACTCAGTATGGCACTAGTAGCCAGGTGAAACTCTTGTTTACATTGACAACTCTCTGGACTTTGACATTTCACAATTTATCCTAGTTCTTTTTTTTTTTTTTTTTTTGAGTTGGAGTTTCACTCTGTCTCCCAGACTGGAGTGCAGTAGCCGCTCCCGGCCACCGCAGCCTCGACCTGCTGGGCTCCGGCGATCCTTCCGCCTCAGCCTTCCAAGTAGCAGGAATTACAAGCATGTGCTACCATGCCCGGCTGATTTTTTGATTTATTGTAGAAATGAGGTCTCGCTGCCCAGGCGGATCTCAAACCCGCGGGCTCAAGCAACCCACTCACCTCAGCCTCCCAAAGGCGCGGGATTACAGGCTAAGCCACCGAGTCCGGCTAATTTTTCCCAGTTCTAACCCCCAACCTGCTTACTTACTTTTAGACAGCTCCTCTTTATAAGGAACCTAAATCCATTATGGGTAAGTTACAAACCACTGCTTGTTCTATTCTCAGTGGAGATGGAAGCAGGTTGATCAGCATCCAGCTTGAAATAAGTATCTGCCCACTTTGTAATGGGGTTGTTTGCTTTTTCTTTTCAGAGTGGGCAAAAGATATGAACAGACACTTCTCAAAAGAAGACCTATGAGCGGCCAACAGACACATGAAGAAATGTTCAACCTCACTAATCAAGGAGATGCAAATTAAAACTACACTGAGATACCACCTAACTCCAGTCAGAAAGGCCATTATAACTCAAAAAATAACAGATGCTGGAGAAGATGTGGTGAAAAGGGAATACTTCTACACTGTTGGTGGGAGTGTAAACTAGTGCAACCTCTGTGGAAAGTAGTGTGGTGATTCCTAAAAGCTCTAAATACCGACCTTCCATATGAACCTGAAATCCCCCTGCTGGGAATATACCCTGAAGAACTCAAATCACTCTATAAAACAGATACCTGCACACGTATGTTTATTGCAGCATTGTTCACAATAGCAAAAACCTGAGGCCAGAGCCCATGTACACTGTGGTTCCTGGGGCTCCCCACACAGTCTAGCACATAGAAGGCACTTTATCTTATGTCCACTATGAGCCAGTTACTTTGCTATGTGCTTTTCACACACATACTATCTTCAGTCTTCACCAAAGTCATATAAGCATTTTTCAGATAAGTGGCTTGAAGAGTCTCAATGCCTATATGGACAAAGGTCACACAGCTGGTGAACGATAGAAGGGAATGTTTAATAAATGTTAGTTTACAACTGTGCTGCCCATCAAAAAATGTGGTACATATACATGATGGAATATTGCACAGCCATAAAGAAGGACAAAATTATGAACTCTGCAGCAACTTGGATGGACTTAGAGGCTATAATACTGAGTGATTTATCACAGAAACAAAGAACTGAGTATCCCATGTTCTCACTCATAAGCAGACTTTGAACAACTATCATAATACTCTAAGAAAGGGATTGGCAGCAGTGGAAAACTGCCAGGCGAGGGGGGTACACCTCATCAACAAGGGTCCCTGCATAATGAACATTTATTTGTATGCCTAACCCTGAACTGTACCCCACATATTCAAAATAAAATATAAATTTTGGTTTAAAAGCAAAAAATGTACCTGTGAGATGTGAGTCTTGCTAATTAACACTGCAGAAGTACTCCAGACCAAGACTCCAGAAGGCAAGCCAGCTGAGAGATGGCCTCTTCTGGGGTACAGGCACACAGGAAGAGACCAGAGATAGGTCGGGTGTGGCTCGACAGGAGGGAGAGGAAGAAAATCCTCTGAGTACTTGCCAAAAATAACTAGAAGAGGTGAGCCCAAATGATGCTCTTTGGAGAGCCTGCTTGGCCACTATTAAAAGATGCAAAGTCTTCATGTTTCTGAAGAAACAGAGTACAGTCCCCACTGCCTACTTCATCTGAGCCCTGCAGCCACTGATACCTGGGTAATTGTGAATACAGCTTAGGGCTCCCCTGGTAAGCTACTCATTTCCTGCTCCTGACATGCTCTGTTCATCCAAAGGCAACCTGCTGGATGGATCCTCCCTTCCCAGCAGAATTTGCCTGGGGCACCTGACGTAGAGATGGAGCAACAGCAAGATATGGTGGGAAAGGCTCTGCTGACACTCAAAAGACCAAGTGCTACCCCAAACCCTCTTGTTCCTCCCCAGACCCTCCTTTTTGTGAGCCATTGGTGACATGAGGAAAAAGAATGGGCTGGACAATATCTAAGAGTAACATAGGAAAAAGAGTGGGTTAGATAATATCTAACAATGATAAGTTGCTTGCTAACTTAGTCTAAGACACAAAACACTTTCTGTAGTGAAAAGTTCAAAGGAAGAGACTCACACCATGACCCAGGAATTAATTAACCTGTTATCTGGCTTCATGTCCCTTACCTACAAAATGATGGTGATGCAGGGAAAGGAATCAAATCCTTCCTCACCCCTCCACTCTTTGCACTCTCGGCTAAAGTTTTACTTGTTCCACCTCTGAACCTTTAGGCAAGCTGTTTCCTTGGCCTGAAATTCTCCTTTCTCTTTTCTTCACCTTCTTTCATCTTCTAGTTTCTACTCAACCCCAGGGATCAGCTGAGACTTTTATCATGCTGAACCTTTCCTGATGTCCCAGATGAGAGTAGATGCCTTCTTCTATGCTCCCAGAGCCTCTGTGCCATATTGCAACTGCCTAGTGCCTGTCCCTATTCCTGAGAACTGTAACTAGTGGAGGATTGGAGGAGCAGGTATATGTTGTATGAAAGGAAGTACCTATAGAAACCTAGAATCGGCCGGGCGCGGTGGCTCAAACCTGTAATCCCAGCACTTTAGGAGGCCGAGGTGAGGGGATTGCCTGAGCCCATGGATTCGAGAGCAGCCTGGGCAACTTGACGAGACCTCATCTCTACAATATATCAAAAAATTAGCCAGGCTTGGTAGCGTGCACCTGTAGTTCTGGCTACTTGGAAGGCTGAGGCAGAAGGATCGCCTGAGCCCAGAAGGTCAATGCTGTGGTGACTGTGAGCATGCCACTGCACTCCAGCCTGGGTGACAGAGTGAGACTCCAACTCAAAAAAGAAAAAAAAAAAGAAACCTAGAATAAACTTAGTTTAGTGTAGTCTTTTTGCCTCAGCATAACCATTTTTGCTTAGACTTTACCCCTGACTCACTTTGAATCTAGCACAGGTCAGACATAGATAAGATGAATTTCCAATATGCAGGTTTTAGGAAGCATCCAGATATTCTTCTTCAGGTCAAGCAGCAGCCTACCCTACCCCCCTCAGCAAATCTCCATCAGATACAAGACCAGGACAGCCCAATAGCCCAACCTTTCATTTTATGGTTTAGCATAATAATCTCTAGGAAACTTTCAGGGTCCTTGTCAAGGCAGAAGATCAAAGATCACCCCTTGACTGGCCAAAGCCATAGAAATGATAATAAGACCACCTTTTGGTCAAGGAGATTGTGGATTGGAAACATCTGACAAGTCTCTTGCAGGAAAAACCCCTTCCCTTGTCTCCCATGTAGCCCACTACCATGGAAGGAATCATGTGACTAACTCACCCATCTGTCTGCTGTCCATCATCTGACGTCAGTACCTGCACTTACCTGACCCTTCGTGGTGGAGCAGACCACCACCCAATCACCTTAATGACCTTTCCCCATCAAAGGGAAAGATTAAAAGTACTCAACCATGGGCAGCCATCTGCCATTGCCTTGCTAAGCTACAATGTGGCCATGTGCTCTTTGAGCTATGGCTAGGCCATATTTCCTCCTCCTCCTCTACCTTGGGGAGATAACTCTCCTCTTTCTCTCTCTCTCTCTCTCTCTCTCTCTCTCTCTCTCTCTCTCTCTCTCATATTTAGTTTCTAAATAAACGGTATTTTCTAATCTAACTTCTGTGCAATGCTTTGCATCTTTCATGCAGCATGGGATCCCACACCAGGCATTCACACACCCAGTGGACCTGACTTATTCTGGAAGCCCCACTGGGAGTGTGACCCTAACACTGTACAAGAGTGGTATCTTGTCAACCATTTCTAAGGTCACATGGCACAAGGACTAATAAGATTTTGATTAAAAGATGTTAGAAGGAGCAGTATGAAAGCAAGGCTGTGAGATGTGGGGACTCAAGAAAAAGAAAGGGTAGCATCTCTTGTGAGTACTCACTCCCCAACTGCCAGTGGCACAGATCACAGCCTTGGGTTGCCCCTTTTAATGTTAGAAGCTTTAGGTCGCTGATCTCCTCTCATAGACTGGAAGTTCCATAAGGGCAGGCCCTATGTCTCTCTAGCTCAGCATTGTAACTTTGGCATCTAGCACCAAGTAAGATAGATAATAGGAACTCAGTAAATATGTACTAAATGCATACATGACTGGGTAAATAAATGAACAGATTGTGTCACCTTCAGCAGACTCTTTCCTCTCTCTGGGTCTCAGTGTTCTTATTGGTGAAATGAAGAGTTAAGACACTATGAGTTATGAGGGTCCTTCCAACTCTGAATTTGATGACAGGCTAGTTCTAATCCTTCTTCATCTGGCACTATGACGTCTGCAGGCTAATTTTGGCAAAGATTTTAAACCCTTTCAGTGGAAGGTGTTAGTGAATAAAATGTCCTTATTAAGTGTGGAATTTATGCAAAACAAGTTTACTTCTTATTCTAGGAGACAAGCACAGCCCTCTGAAGAAAGAAGAAATCAAGACCAAGATAATAGCATCTCAGGTATACAGAAAAACTATAAGGGTCAGAGTGTTATGGACCACATTTTAAATTTTTATTAAAAAAATTTTTTTTTAGCCGGGCTCGGTGGCTCAGCTGGTAATCCCGTGCCTTTGGGAGGCTGAGGTGAGTGGATTGCCTGAGCCCACGGGTTCGAGACCCACCTGGGCAGCGAGACCTCATCTCTACAATAAATCAAAAAATTAACCGGGGGTGGTAGCGCGCGCCTGTAATTCTGGCTACTTGGAAGGCTGAGGTGGAAGGATCGCTGGAGCCCAGCAGGTCGAGGCTGCGGTGACCAGGAGCGGCCACTGCACTCTAGTCTGCACGACCAAGTGAGACTCCAACTCAAAAAAAAAAAAAAAAAAAAAATTTTGTCCACTAAATATTTTGTCCAGGAGCTAGGGAGGAGACAAAGGGCTCACTAACTCCAGGAAGGCATTCTGGGTAGGATTTGAGCTAAGCCCACAGGAACAAATACAATTTAAACAGAAGAGTGGCTAGGGAGTTCCAGGGGAACAGAAAGTCTTCCAGCCATGGCTGGAGGTGATGTGGCATATTTGAAGTGGTGTGTGGTATGGGTCTTCGACATGTTTTGAATTAACCCAGTGCAACCCACCCAAAATAACTCTGTGAATATTTGACCATTAGAATCTACTTATGTAGCAAATCCTCACATATACCTCACAATTCTAAAATTTAAAAAAATTCTTGCCTCTTTAGAAATGCAAACAAATCTGGGAAAGTTAATGTATTGACCTCTTAAATACAAGAACGTGGGAGTCAGACAGCCTGGGTTTGATTCTTAGCTCTGCCATTTTTTAACTGTATGACCCTGGGCAAACTTACTTAACCTCTTTGAGTCTCAGTTTCCCCATGAGAAGTAGATGAGATAATAAGTGTACATATTAACAATAATGTTCATCATCATCAACTTCAGGAAAATTCTGTTTGCTGTCTTCCCAACAGCAGATGAGGCAGAGTGGCCTGAAGGAATGAGTCTTTTGTTAGGCAGAAACCTAATGCTGGATAATAATAGTGATAGTAGTGCACACACTTGCACAGTGTTTATTATGTAAAAAGAAATATTGTAGGTACTTTAAATGTTCTAACTCCTTTAATCCTTCAATAGCTCGATCAGGTACTATTATTACTCTGCTACGGAGGAGAAAACTAAGGCACATGGAGGCTGAGTAACTTGCCTGAGGACACACAGGCTGAATATGTCATAGCCAGCTTTAAATTTGGCCAGCCTTTCCCTGCGTTCATGTTCTTTAGCATCACATCATAATGCCTCTGTGTTACAGTGGGTGAGGACTGCAGACCTCAGAGAAGGTTCTGTGGAGGTGGTGGGAAATAGCAACAAATGCCTGCAGGTGTGTCCTGCTGGACACCACCCAGAGTCCAATAAATCGGCCCAAAATAGTAGACATGTTGACTTTGAGGAGCCAGGGTATACTGGGGAGGAAAGTACTGACAAGCCAAAATAGCATTTCGTCAGGAGAACTCTTTGTTCTTCTTTGAGTCCTCTGTTTGGTCACCAGATAATCCTTAAGGTTCCTTCCAGAGATGAGATGCTGTAAAAATTAAAAACTGTAGAATATCATTAAAGAAGACATTGATTCATGTTAAGGGCCAGGGGTTGTGCTGGAAAACTTGTGGAATTAATCAGATAGCATATTCTAAAATAAACAGAACATCATAAAAATAGCAAGAGTTCATAATTACAATGAGTCACCATATGACAGTTCATCACAGTTACCAGAGGCAAAAACTTACCTGAAAGAGTGAAGTTTGGCCAAAGAAATTAAACAAGATGGTCCGTAAGTTTCTATGAGGAATTCTCTCTGTCAGTGATTTAGGCAAATAGATGGAAGCCAAAATCCTCCCCACAGGGACATCACCTAGGTAAATCTGTTCCCCCAAAAAAGAAGCCAGAAAATGAAAACTGGAGTCTTCAATCATGAGACTGAAGTCCTACCTACTTCCCACCCTCACCCAACCCAGAGTATCATGTAGAGGACTGAAGGGTGGGAACTAGCCCCAAAAGCTAGGATACACTTTTTGCACACATAACATGCACACTCTCAAAATCACAGGCCAAGACATAATCCTGGTACACACAGACATAGATACACACACACACACACACACACACACACACACACACACACACACACACACCACCTTTTCTTTTCTAAACCTATCCCTGAGGTTCTCTCTCTTTAACTTGCTTCCACCTGAAGAACAATAGCGATGGGAAGGGAAATGGAAAATTAGGTAATTTGCCCTGATTCTCAGAAATAAGGGCCAGACTTGGAAATCAGGCCATCTTCTTCCATATAGTAAGAGAAACAAAACAAAACAACACAACACAATACCGTGACATTGGGCACTAGCGCCAAAGTTGATTGAGCAATGCTTTTGTTAAAAAGTGGGGCAGGGAACTGACACATTGATCTTAGCAAGTGTTATAACCACTGCTATAGTTTGAATGTATCTCCCCCCTCAACATATATTTAAACTTTAAACCCCAACAATGATGCGGAGTAGGGCTTAATGGGAAATATTTGGGTCATAAGGACGCCACCCTCATGAATGGATAAATGCCAGCTATAGAAGAGCGTGAGACTGCAAGTTCACTGTCTTGCTCTCTCTTGCCCTTTCTTTGCCCTTCTGCCATGGGTTGATGCAGCAAGAAGGCCTTTGCCAGACACCAGCCCCTGGATCTTGGACTTCTCAGTCGCCAGAACTGTGAGCCAACAAGTTTCTGCTCATTATAAATTACTTAGTCTGTGATATTATATTATGGTAGCAAACAAAGGACTAAGACACCCACTATCAGAAGCATATGCTGACTTGATTGATAATAACATTTGACAAGTAGTAAAACATTTCTGAGAGTGAAAAGGGGTTACGCCAACAATTACACGAGGTCCACAGTCATAAACCTGTATTCTTTCATACAAAACAGAACATATAAACACACTTAAAATTTGTTCTCTCATTTAATCCCTCTATCAACTCTGAGAGGAACTTTGTTTCATGGTATTAGGAAATGGAGGCTTAAAGAGGTTATGTAACTTGCTTAAAAATCACACAGCTACTGTATTACTATAAGAAAAGAATTGAAAGTGGCGGGAAACTGCAGGGAGGGAGGTGGGGAGGTGGGATTGACAGTAGTCGATATCTGCCTGGGGAAGGGGGGGTGCACTTCATCAATAAGTGTAACTGCACGGTGAATAATTGCATACCCAGTCCTGAATTGTACCCACAATTTTAAATAATTTTTTTTTTTAATCGCACAGCTGGGATGTAGTTGAACAAAAGTATATGTGATTGTGGGCCCACATTTTCTTCTTTTTTTCTTCCTTTAGAAAGCAGGATTTATTGAGAGGACAGAAAATCTCCCACAGTGGGAGGGGACTTGAGGGCGTTGCCCAGCCCATTTTTTTCTACTATCTATGCTGCCTGTCAAGTTACTATTATCTAGTTGAGTGTATGATGGGGGGGAAATGTTTACAACATTTCTAAAAATGGCTTATAAACACAAAAGTCACAAGGCTTTTCTCTTAGTACAAATGAACTCCTCTACTAGAGCAATTTAGTAGCATGGAGAAATCATGATTGAACTTAAACATGCAAGCAGTTTTGTACCAAGAATGCAATTGGGGTTGGTTGGTTGGTTTCTCCACCGTGATTTATAATTTTAAAAAACCCATATGTAAACAAAAATGCATTGGGAAGTCAACACCTGTTTCAGTATGGCTAAGTAGCTCTTAATAAATGCAACTCTCCTGCTTATGACTATGATGTAAAATAACAATTACTCGAAGGTGCTGGAAAATGACCCCAAGCAGATTCTGGAGAAGAGTAGACACCTGGAAAAAGATAACATCACAAAGCAAATTATCTGTTTTTACAGTTTGTAACCTGATGACAGGCTAAAACTAATTCTGTGAAAAACACCTACAATCCTGATTGAAAAATGACTGCAGTCTTTCTTGAAGAACCAGAAAACAAAGGTCAGGGAAACTACAGCTACTGGAAGATGAAGAGAGTAACATCTAGAATGGAGAGAGCTAGCAAGTGCGGGCCCAAAGTTCTGAGTATAAACTCTGCCCAAATATCTGCCTGACCTCCAAACTATGTATGTATGGGACAGATTCCAATTGAGAATAAAGAAACTTAGCTGAGATTTAAACTGCCAATCAAGAGATGGAATTTACAGTTCATTCCAACCATATTAATTGCTCAGTATAACAAAAACCAATAGTCTTCAAAGGAATATAGTAGAAACTAGAGTGTTCACAATATAATATTCATAATATCCAGGGCATAATCCAAAATTACCTGATATGTGAAGAAAAAATTTGACCCATTTTCTTTTCTTTTTTCTTTCTTTCTTTTTCTTTTAAGTAGGAGTCTCACTCTGTCGCCCAGGCTAGAGTACAGTGGCGTGTTCACAGCCATCGCAGCCTCGACCTGCTGGGCTCAGGCAAACCTTCCGCCTCAGCCTTCCAAGTAGCTGGAACTACAGGTACGTACCAACACGCCCGGCTAATTTTTTTATTATTATTATTGTAGAGATGAGATCTTGCCAAGTTGCCTAGGCTGGTCTCGAACCAGCAGGCTCAGGAATCCTCTCACCCTGGCCTTCCAAAGTGCTGGAATTACAGGCATGAAACACCGCACCCAGCTGTTTGACCCATTTTCAAGTGAAAAAATATTCAGAGCCGGGCTCGGTGGCTCAGCCTGTAATCCCGCGCCTTTGGGAGGCTGAGGTGAGTGGATTGCCTGAGCCCATGGGTTCGAGACCAGCCTGGGCAACTTGGCGAGACCTCATCTCTACAATAAATCAAAAAATCATCCAGGCATGGTAGCACGTACCTGTAATTCCGGCTACTCGGAAGGCTGAGGTGGAAGGATCGCCGGAGCCCAGCAGGTCGAGGCTGCGGTGGCCGGGAGCGGCCACTGCACTCCAGTCTGGGTGACAGAGTGAGACTCCAACTCAAAAAATAAAAATAAATAAAAGAAAATATGCTTGCAAGTAATGCAAAAAGAAGAAACAGCAGTAGAAAAACAGAAACAAGTGAAACAGAAATCCTAGACCTTTGAAAATAATACTGAAATTAAAAAAAAATAAATTGTGTGTATTTAAGGTATACAACATGATGTTATAGGATACATATGGATAGGGAAAAGTTTACTATAATGAAACAAATTAATATGTCTATCATCTCTCAAAGTTAGCTATTTTTTGTGGCAAGAGCAGCTCAAATCTACTCATTTAGCATGAATTCCAAAAACAGTACAATTTTAAAAATTGCAGCCCATGCCATAAGAGATAAGATAGACAAGTGGGACCTTATCCAACAGAAGAACTTCTGCAAAGCCAAAGAAACTATCAAGAAAGCAGGGAGACAGGCCACAGACTGGGAAAAAATATTTGCCAACTGTATATCTGACAAAGGCTTAATATCTAGGATCTACAAAGAACTCTAACATATCAAAAAGAATAAAAACAAACTGCCCCATTGCAAAGTGGGCCAAAGATATGAATAGACTCTTCTCAAAAGAAGACATACGAGCAACCGAAACATACATGAGAAAATACTCAGCCTCACTAGTCATTAAAGAAATGCAAATTAAGGAAAACTGCTAGGGGAGGGAGGGGCATACCTCATTAACAAGGGTACCTGCATAATCAACGCTTATATACCTAATCTTGAATTGTACCCCATATCTTTAAAATTAAAAAAAAAAAATTTTAAGAAATGCAAATTAAAAACCACACTGAGATACCACCTAAGTCCAGTCAGGATGGCCATCATCAATAACTCAAAAAACAACAGATTCTGGAGAGGATGTGACGAAAAGGGAACACTTCTACACTTTTGGTGGGAGTGAAACTAGTACAGTCTCTGGAAAACAGTTTGGTCATTCCTACAAGATCTAAAAATTGACTCCCATACAACCTTGCAATCCCCTGCTGAGAATATACCCAGAGGAACTCAGATCACTCTATGAAAAAGATACCTGCACATGTATGTTTATTGCACATTATCTACAATAGAAAAAATATGGAACCAACTGTGCTGCCTATCGAAAAAGGACTGGATTTAAAATGTGCATATACATGATGGAATATTATGCAGCCATAAAGAAGGACAAAATTATTAACTTTGCAGCAATTTGGATGGACTTAGAGGCTATAATACTGAGTGATCTATCACAGAAACAAAGAACTGAGTATCACATGCTCTCACTCATAAGTGGACCTTGAGCAGTTATCATAATACTCTAAGAAAGGGATTGGCAGTAGCGAGAAACTGCTGGGGGGGGGCACACCTCATCAACAAGGCTACCTGCATAATGAACATTTGTATACCTAACCCTGAATTGTACTCCCCCACACATATTTAAAATTTTAAAATTGTTTAAATTGCACAGCATGGGTTCAATAGTAACAAAAAGATGACAGATGTCTGCAAACTTAAAGATGGATAAATATAAATTATCCTATCAGAAGAATAGATAGTAAAATGATTTGAACCATGAACAGTCTCAGGAACCTACTGAGGGCAGTATCAGAAAGCCTTACAATCATATAACCTCAAAGGAGAAGAGAGAGAGAATGGTGAGAAAACAGTATCTGAAGAAATAATGGTGAAAATTTTTCCAAATTAAGTGAAAGACATAAATTTACATATTCAAGAAACAGCCAACCCCAAGTAGTATAAGTACAAATAAAAAGATGCCTAAGCATATAATGGTCAAACTGCAGAAAATCAAAGAAAATATTAACAACAACCAGAGAAAAATGACACATTACACATTACAAACAAAGAAACAAAACTTGGAGTGATTACTGATTTCTCTTCAGAAAATATGGAGGTCAGAGGAGCATGAGA